ACAGGAAAAATTTGGAGGGATAAGGGCCAAATGCAGACAGGTGGGACTTATTTTGGGAACATGGTAGGCATGAACTGGTTGGACCAAAGGGTGTGTTTTCATGCTGTATTACTCTATGACTCTATATTGTCCCTCCTTACTGCAGTAACTGACTCCCGTTTTAATGATTCAACACTATCGCCTCGATTATATCCCCTCCCCGTCACCTGAAGATCCTATGTCCTATAATGTTAAGTTTCCTGTCCTGCCGCTCCCTCAACCACATCTCTGGGATGGCAACAATATTACAATTCTACGTGTTAATCTGCACACTTAACTCATCTGTTTTACCTGTAATGCTCCTAGCATTAAAGTAGATACCATGCAGCCTCACCTTACTCCCTTGAAACTCAACATTGTTGAATTCCCTTGGTGTTTGTTCATTTACTACAGTAAGCCATGTCCCTATTGTACTGACACTTTGTGACCCCTGCCCCTGCTGATCGACTTTAAATTCCTCCCAACCGCACTGTAACCCACCCTCACTGATGATGGCTCCATTCTGGTTTGGGTTCAGAGTGTCCTGCTTGTGCAGGTCCTAACTTCCCCAGAAATGGTCCCAGGGTGATCAAGGAATTTAAACCCTTTCCATTCCGGCACCAACTCTTGAACCACGCATTTATCTGGTGAAATTTCCTCTTTCCACATTTGCTGGCATGTGGCACTGAGAGTAATCCAGAGATTACAAACTTTGAGTTGCTACTCTTTAATCTACAGCTTAGCTCCCTAATTGTCATCTATCATTCTACCAACAATCATTGGTACCAAAGTGTACCACAACCTCCGAAGTATCACCCTCCCTGTTCAGGATGTCCTACAGCAGTTCAGTGACATCCTGACCCTGTCACCAGGGAGACAACATTCTTTCCTGGAGACTTCAGAAAAGCCTGTCTGTTCCCCTAACTAATAAATTCTGTATCACGACTGCTCCCACTTTCTGCTTCCTCCCCTCCTGTACAGTAAGGCTACTTGTGGTGCCAGAAGCTTGATTCTGTCTGCACTCCCTTGAGGAACCAGTATCCCATCAGCTTCCAGAATGGAAAACGGATTTGTGATCAGGATCCCAAGGGACTCTTGCAGTGCCTCTGGAACAGATGGGACATGAGCACAGGCCGCTCAGTCCAAAGGGGAGGGACACTGCAACTGCATCATTGGAGGCACCCTCCATTTTGATTTTTTTTTAATGCTAACAGTCTAAGAAAATGGCCCTTAACCCTTTTTTAATCAACATGTTCAAAGATACAATTACACATGTCTGGAGCAGGTGGGACTTGAACCCAGGTCTCCTGGTTCAAAAGAAAGGTCACTGTCATGGAGCCACATCAACCCTAAAGCTAGATCAGCTGCATTTTGCTTTTGAATCAGCCTGTTCAGAGTTGTTATGACACATCTCGACAACAGTGGGATTTGAACTTGGATCTCTGGGCTCAAGACACAAATATGATCACTGAAACACAACCACCTCATCCATTCAATTACAGTTGCTCAAATAATTGTGTAGAACCACCTATTTTTCGAGTCAAGCTTTTCAGAGATGTTATTACACAGCTCATGAACAGATGGGTCTTCAACCCGAGCCTCCAGGTCCAGGGGGAGGGACCCAACAATTGCACAACAAAAGGGCCCCTTCCTTTGGATTTTAATTGACTCCTGCCCCTCACTCATAAATGCCATCCCCAGTCTGTTTCACAGTGATACTGACCTGCCGCACACTCCCCCCA